CATCATGACCCCCCCCCCCCTTTCAAATTATCCTGGATCCGCCCCTGGTTTTATATAGGCTACATCAATAGTGTAAGACAATTGGATGTGAAACCGGCAAATTTTGTTTAATTTCTTGTTTACTTTATCTATGATATCTTGTAGCTTTGCATTAAAAAAAAAAATATTTTCAAAATAATCAGTATTAGGCCTACTGGTAAGTCGGAGAGGAAAGAATTAAGGACACTTGCTGGCTTTCTCGTACAGTTAATAAGATGGATAACGTTAAATCTGATATAATTTTTCAAAAAAAGAAAAAAAAACGTGTTAACAATACTCAAAAACTATAATTTCGTGTTTGAACAACGACTCCGAGAAGTAATACATATGTAATTAATTCAAAAACATCAACAGAAATAAAATAGAGCAACAGTACATAAAATAGCATCATAGCGAAGTAACCGTGGTGTGAAGACTGTTTGCAGATCTGCTTGCTTTTTCGACGGACTTGCGAAGATCTTTATATCTTTGATACAAAGGGTTGTTAAATGTGAGGTACTGAACTGTAAAAATAGATACAGTTTTAATTTTTACGTGTACCTGTGCAAGTTGCTTAGAATTGCATCTTTCTGTTATTCACTGGTTTATAAGAAACATAAAACTAATTAATTCAGCTAAATCATTTGATAACATTTCGTTTCTAATTCTTTTAATGTCCTGTATGTACAGTCATACAAACACATCAAGTTACTACAAACACATCATCTCAACTTAAGTGAAAATTCGCTTGAAATCTTTTGTAACTGAATGCAAACTACACATACAACAAGTTGCCAATTGTTCACTTAAGATGAAGTATGAGAGACAATTATTGTAACATTATTCATATTTATACGCTCTCGTGGCTTGCAGAAGGAGTTTCTTAAGTAAGACCCCATTTCCAGAGATTAGATCGATCTACTTTAGATCGACCTAACTCACTGGGGGTTCACGCTAAATAGCTGTCAGCCGAGCGGACACGAAAGTTAATTACCCCCTTACAGCTTGTAGTAGGCGGGACGGACATTTAAGCCGGATTATCTGACAGTAATCTAGTGAGACTCCCCGCGGGGATAGATCGATCTAAAAGCTCTGGGAATACAGCCTAAGAGCACACGTTCTTAAATATTTTGTTTATGGCACTAAAATAATATACCACACGCATATAGTTTTCCGTGCATTTGAACCAGGTTGACATTCTACGTAAAACAAATAAATCGCCCTCTCATAAATTAGTGTCCACTGATAAACATTTTCACCATTTAATACCTAAAGAAAGGTTAACTGCATGGTACCCGATTTTGACATTAACCTTGTAAACCTAAAGACAAAAAGATGATAAAAGTATCAGAAGATGATACAGAGACAAAAAGAATAGTGGTACAACAACTCTCTTTTTAAATTCTCATCTCACAAATACTATTTTAGGTAAAACTATCAAAATGATAGAACCTGATGTCATATTATAAAACATCCTTAAGATCAGAAGCGTTTGTTCTGCTGCATGGGCGATTCATTTGAATACGCTTTACACGTGCACACAACACTTTGGGATTGCCAGCAATCCTAAAATTGCTTCCCTAACTTCTGGCATACGTAGGCTGTACAAAAATGGATTGAACAAAGAGTGAAATAAAAGCAAAAACGAGGTTGAATACTGTAGTCCGATACCCCAGAAAGTCTCAATGGCAGTGTATATAAAACACATCGCCAAGTATGGTAACCAGCAGCATACCAAGCTCAAAAACATGACGGCGGAAATCTTGGACAGGTGACTAGCGGAACATTTCGAAGTGATGTTCACCGGAACAACATTTGTAGAATTGCAAAGCAAACGCTTAATTGTCACGAATAAACGGATCTTTATCACAAGTGTCCCGACGACGCCCAAGAAAAGCAATGCGAATAGTGTGTTCTTTACGATTGGTTCCAAAGGCTGAAGATGGCCGCAGAACTCCTTGAGGCCAAAATGTCTTCCGGATGCTACAAGCGTGCTTGACAGCGCTGCGTATACAGGGATCCCACCAATGGCTACGCCCGTTGTCCAAGCAGCGACGTTATACAAATGCACGCGGCATTTTGTGACAAGAGAATTGTACGTCAGAGGAAAACGCACTGCCACGCTGATGTTGTAGTCAATCCCAAAAACTGACAAAACGGATACGATAAACGGGACGAGAGATAGCTTTGTACTGAGGAAGAACTGGCATAAAAAGCTGGAGGTGCTGTTTGGAATATTCGGATCTTGATACACGACTGTCAGCAAGGAAATGTTCATTGTTAAGAAGAGCAAAAGGAGAACCATATCGGCCAAACTTAGGCACAGAAGCAGCAAGTGGTGCGGCGTGGTTGCTGGGCGTACGTTTCTGATGCCAAGGCAAGCCACCGCATTTACCATAAGCCCCACGCCGCAGAGTACTACGGCTATGGGAGACGTTATCTTTGCCACCTCATAATGACCCATCAACTGATTGTCCCACAAAGTGTAATTTAGAGAGATATTTGTAGACAGTATCATCTCCTGTGGAATGACATTGATTTCTGCCATGACAATACCAAAAGTATGTGAAAATTGCTCCGCTGCTTTTTAAAGTCGTTTGCTTTATTGATCTTTTACCTAGCAAACGAGTCTAGACTCAACAGATTACTGTTCTATAAATGTACCTGAATTGGTTATTCTTGCATTCGATGGAATTATGCAACTATTCTTCACAATTAACTTGTCTGAGTCCCTGGTGTGCTTTACAAAAGGCCAATTTTGCTCTTCAGCCCGAATAACCACTTTCAGAGATATTTTCATTTTTGTGAAAATTACACGCTGTCGCTAGTGGTGCTTTAAAAATGTTTTCTCAACAACTGGTATTCACAGTGGAATGTGCTTCGTGTACAGTTGGCTCCTTTGAAGTCATATTACATGGTACCATGTGCCGAACAGTCAGTTTAAGAACCATTGGCGCAATCAGATAAAACCGTTTGAAATCCAAGATCTCTGAAATTGCTCAAGTTTCATTTTAACTTTTAGTCCCCCTGCTGATGCCAATCACTACAGTGGTGGTTGCCAAAGCGTCTTTGTTCTGGAATACATGTACCTTCTTTGACACAGTTAAATTTGTTCCACCTATAGCCGTGATCAGAGAGCCAGCTAAACGTTAGAAATAAAACAACACAAAGGGGCCGTTGATGTTGGAAAATGTGCGAATCTCCATCCAAATGCCAGTTTTGTTCGGAATGGGACGTCGATCATGCCGATTAATTGAATCAGGTTAATAGAAAGACTTTTGAATAATTCAAAAAAGTAATTTTCCATTTGGATGAATATAGGCGATATATTAGTATACTTATACTTTATAGCACATTTGATCTGTCATGTATACTAATACATAAACTGGTATAGCAGTGCATGGTACTTTCATTATTGGAAGAGACTTTAAACAGTAGCAACTTTCATTAGCTTAAGTGGAAGAAAGAGCTTTCGAGCACGGCAACGTAGAAAACTAATTTGTAATCCTGCCACAACTGGTAATTGTGTTATAAACACGCAGGAAATACAGCAATTAGTAGAATTGAACGCGTTTGTCAAACTGATCATTAGATTTTTATAGAACAAATGCGATACAATGTGTGGCTGGCAGAAGTGGCTGCAGCTTTTTAAAAAGCTTTTCACAGCCGCAAATTGATGTAAACAATTAACTCACCAGTTGAAATTTTCAGTTAAATACTTTACTACTCACAAAAAATTATCTCCTGGCATAGACAATGCGTACTTATTTACCAAAATATATCTACTCATGTCTAGCGATATGAGTTAACACATAACAGTTTTGAAGATATCATTATAACTAAATTTGTTTACATCTATTGACTATGTATTTAAAGATAAAACTGCACTTCTTGAAAAAACTTCGATGTCAAGTGTTGATACGTGTCTGTGTGTGTGTTAAATTTGATCATGGTACAATTAATTCAAGAAAAAAATTAACTTGAACCCTCATGTCTTTTAAATGAGACACAACTGAAGCAATGCAAATTCTCCACGACTGTGACAAACGCCATACACAATTATGACAATGGTTTATTAAAGAAAAAAATACATACAAACAATTGCACATAATTTATAGAAAAGAACATATACAATGTGACTGGAAAAGGGTCATCTTAAATATTCACAATGAAATGCCACACTGATTCAAAAAAATATATACTGAAATTGATTTTTACACAAAGCTGCCCATGCAGACGGTTTTATATAATAACTATAAAAGCTCTTGGCATAAAATTATAACCAAAAAAGCTTACGGCAATTGCCACTTAATGGTATATACAGCTAGTTGTTAAATACTATCATTATATGATACAATTATATTTACATATTTAAAGTACAGTTTTATAACTGTAGCAATTACCTAGGCTTTGTTCAAATGGAAATCTGTACTATAAGTAACTGGCTCGCGCTGCCAGTAATTACGCCGCGGGATATTCAGGGCACAGACCATGATCATAAGACAAACCGCGAATAGAAAATAGATTTTTAGAAAATAGACATTGCATGTGAATGAAGCCTTACCTGACCTTGTGGGAGGGGAGAGTCATACAAGTGTAGACATGTGCCCGTGATATGTAGAGATCTCACAGAGAATTATTCAATATTGTCCGTTGAGTATTCATTTCACTCTGTACAACTGGAGTTGTTTGTTCAGTAAATGGGTTAATGGTATTACTAATATAGTCCATTGGGAGAAGAAAAATCATAAATATTACATGAAAGCAGTTTGCAGCAGATTAATGTACTGCTAATTACACTGACAGGATACATACAGCTAGAGAGAAATTGACATCCAGAGCCCATTCGGAACAGCACACAGATCTGCAGTTCAAATATGGCCAATAAAAACATGTTGCTTAATTCCCTAGTAGACACTGAATAGATTCCCTGCCTATACTGATAATAGAGGTGAGTATCTGCTAATCTCTGAAACTGAGAGTTTAAGAGACAACATCAACCCTAAATTCTCGCACTATAGGAGCATTCCCATAAACCCATCATAAAAGCTGGATCAATCCAACTCAGCAGGGCTTCTC